AGAATAAACGATAGTGTAAGAAAGAAGACAGTAACTCACTAAATATCAAAAGTACATAACATATCAAAAATAATACTTAAGGGATGAATCAAAACCAAAGGCAAAATCTAGCATATTCTCTGGCATGTCTATTTTAGATGTTCCATTTTAACAGGCAGCAGTAGAGCAACAAAAACATAGTAGCTATTTTGTGACCTGGAAGATGAAATTCCTTCCTCAGCCTGTGCTATGAACAGAAATCAACCTAAAATCAGATAGAAAAATATTTTATATTGTAGCCGTAGCTTTTGCATATGTTCTTTTCACAACTATAAACCCTTTGAACTTTAAAGAATAAAAATAGAACACATTACGTCATACGGCTTGAATCATTTCCTCTTTCTACACTTCCTTAAAAGCCTTAAAATAACAGGACAAAGCCTGGTTCCTTCAGTGCTTCCACATTTGTATAATTTAAAGCCCCACATGCAAATCCACAAAACCAGACCATATTTTTATTGTGGAATTTCCGGCTTTTCACTCCTGTGCTTGGTCTTTTCTATTTTATTAATGAATTAGACTAAAAGCAGAATGTGAAACATTTTATCAAAGACTAAGAAAAAATTGGTTTTAGGACTTCCATCAGAAGTGTGCATTCAGTAGCTGATAAATGCTGTATAACTTTGCATTTAATTACCACACCTTCTGACAATTCACCTTTAGAGGTATGGAACCAGGTACACCATGAATTGATCTGGAGCTTAGACACAGAATGTCCATCTGTAATTCCAATAATGACTTGGGAACCATGCATTAATTTTCAGAAGACAGAATTAGAAGAATATATTGCTGAAAAATATTTTCTGAAATATGAAATGAATTCTTATATCGTAATTTTAATGGTTGAACGAGATTCAATGTAGTGATGCATTAAACAGAAGTATCATTTCCTAATACCTGCACCATTTCTGGAAGGGATATTTTTATGGCTAAGTATCTGCCCAGAGATTTACTGTTTCTATTTATTTACTGTAAAGCAATTCTTAATATATGATATTACAAAATAACATGATGAGACACAGTATTATAATATTCATAAAAATCTCTCCCTTTGGAGGGGAGATAATAGAACTACATGAATTAATTTCCCCTCTTATTTTGGGCAAAGCAATGGCAACATTATATTGTCTTGTGAAACAAAATGCTTATTTTAATTTGTAACAGTTATTATAACTTACGTGTTCTACACTGTGTTATTGTCTAAAATATCTTGTATGCAGGAAAAAATAACTTCAGGAGAGGAAAAAAATAGGTTAACATCTTTCTCACTCACTTTAGCAGCTATAGCAATGCAAGCCTCCAATCTTGCTGTTTTTCATGGCTTGCAGTGATAATCATGTTCTTGGCATTATGAGGTGAAAAAAAAAAGTTTCCTGCTTTTCATGCCAATTTGGGCTCATATTTTGTTAGTATTTCTCAAATAGAAAACTGGACGGAATTTGTAAAGAATAATTATGATGTCATGCAAAAAAAGAGAAATAAAAATAAATCCTAGAAACAAAAACTTCACAGTACACAAACACTAGTGCTGTGCTCAAAAGGCATTTTGCTGGGCAAGAAAAGGAGCAAGTTGCTGGAAAACTGTTTTAACATCACTTTATTATTTTTTTTCCATGAAACTCTGGGGGAGAAAATGTTCTCCTTAGAACAAACCAGAAGTTCCTCACTAAAGTCCACAAAGAACTACCTGACTGCTGCTTCTCATTTACTGTTGCTTAACTGCACTAAGAGACAACATGAAAACGAACCTTTCCTAATCAGGGTGAGTCTCCTTTGTCAGCAATTCAGTTACATGGAATTGCATACAATGAGAAATCCATATCATGATGTCAGATACCACAAATGAGACAGCAATTGTTTTCTGATCCAACTGTTAGTGTAAGAGATGATCTGTGGGCTCAGAAGGTTTGGGAACCTTTGGTTTAGGTTCATTCAATTCTCATCTAACAAAAAAAAAGCTGTTACAGGCTTTTTTTTCTGTGGAAACAATATTAAGAGCTATGCATTGTCACACTATTCAAGCCCTTTAATTTCAGGTAGAAAGAATGATGAAACAAACATTCAAACTAAAAGTAAACATTATATACATTTAAAAAATCTAAGAATTCTTCACAGAACCTGAAGAAAAAAATGTGCTATTGCTCCAGACCAAGGATAAGTGCTCCACCACTTAATACTGTGCTGCAGAAAATACTGGAAAACAAAAAAATCAACCACTGGACAAATAAAAGCCTTCTTAAGTTAGCAAATGGGTTTAGGACAATACAGTGTCTTTCTCTCAAGAAAACAGAGACACCTTTTGAGCAATTTTGGAGAACTGTGTACAGCTCTGGAGCGCTCACCACAGAAATGATGTGGAGCTGTTGGAGAGGGTGCAGAGAAGCGCCACGAAGATGGTCAAAAGGCAGGAACACCTCTGCTACAAGGACAGGCTGAGAGAGTTGGCGGTGTTCAGTCTGGAGAAGAGAAGGCTGCAGGGAGACCTTACAGTGGCCTTCCAGTGCCTGAAGTGGCTACAGGAAAGCTGGGGAGGGACTTCTCAAAAGACAGGGTAGTGATAGGACAAGGGGTAATGGTTTTAAACTGAAAGAAGGGAGATTTAGGTTAGATATCAGGAAGAAATTCTTCACCATGAGGGTAGTAAGGTGCTGGAATAGGTTGCCCAGGGAGGCTGTGGAAGCCCCCTCCCTGGAGGTGTTCAAGGCCAGGTTGATGAGGCTTTGTGCAGCCTGGTCTAGTGTGGTGTCCCCACTGACAGCAGGGGGGTTGGAACCTGATGATCTTTAAGGTCCCTTCCAACCTTAACTGTTCTATGATTCTATAACCTAAGAAGAAAAATCAGCTAAATGTATAGCATTATCAAACTTGTCATAGCCTTTATTGATGAATTACTGTATGAATTAATACATTTAACTTCTTTTCCATCATTGAATTACACTCCTACTTTGCTATGCAAAGCTTCTGATATGTTATTACACATTTTAAGAAAAACAAATGCATTCTTAAAATTTATCAGAAGATGCATAGCTTAACTACATTCAGTCATTTTCTACACACTGCTTCCTGTAAAAACTTGTGAGATTAATTAAGACATTGTACATAGGAAATATCTGTATGTATAGATACACACATGGATCTTACACATACTTTTCTACACAGGAATTTATAGTGAACAATAAGCTCACAGTCAGTGATTTCTTTGCCTTAACCACAGTGTTTAATGTCACCAAAAAACCTCTCTATAAAACCCCTCTGCCCTTTGAACTTGATCAAACCCTGGTGAAACCAAAGGAAAGGTTCACTGCAGTAGGAAATACTTCAAACCCTTGGCCTAGATTGTATTTCTGTAGGAATTACGGATCTGTCTAAATTGTGTTTACTGAGTGACCCGTTTCATTTTCATGTCTCCAAAAACAAAGTCTTCTCCTATTCAGAAAAGCCATACTAAGTAAAGGTAGGATCTTGAAAAATAGTGGCCATGTCTTTAACTAAGTAACTAGCTAATTTTGCTGGTGAGTGCCCAATAATGTATTGCATGCAAGGAAAAGGCTAGAGTGTGCCTGTACTTAAGCAAGTTTCAAAAGTTATTTTCCTAGGATGATTTAAAAATATGTTTACAGTGATAACTGCAGAGAGAAATATGCAGGCCAGCTGGACACACTCAGTTCAGGCTCAGACTCTACCCACCTACCTTACTGCACCACTATACTGAAGGTTACTGAAGGTAACAGACCCTGCTGGGAATCCATGTATATTACTACAAACACAACATCGCACTGATGAGGCTACATAACGTTGGAACCCAAATCTGCTTGCACCTGGCCATATTAAAGCATAAGAAAAGGGCACAAGTCATCTGTCTGACTCCATCTATGCAGACACAGTTTCAGAGTCTGGGCCTTTATCAACTGAAGCCACATAGGGGGAATGAAAAGCAGTAGGATCCTGCCTGGAGAGGTTCTCAGCCATGCAGGAAAACATAAAATGGACTGTCTTTTTTCATCACAAGTAATATTTCTCTTTTATATTTTCTCTCAATTTTTGTCTGTTTCAACCCTTCAACCTCATCACCCATTTCTGTCATGTCTGTCTCTCCCCACATGCCACTGCACTTCCAAATCAGCTGCCACTGCCATTCCTTCCTTTGGAGGTCTCCCTGCTGCCAAGGGAAAATGCATCTATGCAAAGAGATGGAAGAAAGAGACCAATATATTGCATTAAATCTGATGCTAATGTTCCCCTGCAGCATTGCCATTTACCACTTTCAACTGTAAATCCTGCGATATTTTCTGTATTTTGACTCACAAGGTCATGGGAGACTCTTGACTTCATATTTTATATGAGAGTGTTTTCATTCCTGAAAGTTATGGAGAAAACTTTGCATGTGTGATCCCTACTGTGGAAAGCTAGTAAATTAATTAATTCCACTTCTTAATCTTGTGATTTTTCAGTTTTTCTCATGAGGTTAGAGTTTATCAAGATCTAAACCTGACAATTCTTTCCAAACACATACCGAGCGATCACGGGCTATGGGAGATCACTGTCGAACATGACAGAGCTTGGAGTGTGCAAAAAACCTTTAGTGCTCTAACAAAGACTGAAGCACTCGCCAAATGGATTCAAAGAGAAAACCCCTAAATATACAGCAGCCTCACTGTGCCATGTTTACTTCAAGACAAATGACAGCTCCAAACCCTTCATTTCCTTATTATTCTGCACATCCAACCTTCCTGAAACCACTATTACTACTTCTATTATAATATTTTAAAATACAAAATGTACATTTTACTCAGTAAAAACATTCACTCTTTCAAAAAACAATACTTTCTCAACTACTGTAAATTTCTCCCTCTGACTCATGAAAAATGCAGCTAGAACAATAAGGTCCTTGGCACCACATTCAAAGCCTGTGAACACCCTTACGACCTCTCCAGTTCTTTCTTGTCATTCTACTCCATGACTGCCATTATAAGGCAAATATGTCAGCTGCCCGTGAGTCTCAGAAGCAATGTTAATGTGCACTTCTCCCCACACTTATCTTTAAAGCCACATCTGTACTAAGATACAACATAAATAAATCACTATCAGTTAGGCTAAGGGCAGAAGATTACTATCTGTTTGTTACAGCACCTATGAATAGTGAGGTTAAAGTTCATTGAATGTAATATGTATGTATTACATTTAAACAGCAGCCATCACTTTCTATTTCTTAGGATGCAACAGTTTTAAACAAGGAATCTTATCTTCTAATCTGTACTGCAATACAGTCCCACAACTGTAATCGTCAGACTAAACAGCAATATAAAAAAAGGCACAGAATTTATAGTCTTGTTTAACATTCCGTGTTAAGACATCAGACAAAACAGGTAAGAGGACACTAGGCAACCTTGACAGAAAAAATACATTAAAAAAGAAGAAATATTAAACCTATGAAACATAAAAACCCTGTAAAATATATTCTCCAGAAACATAAAAGCCATACTGTATTCTCAATATAACAAAGAAAGTTTTGATAATGGAGAAACCCATTATAAGATTAAATAGCATATGGACAAATAGAAGCATTTAGAGGCATCTAATATGCATGAGTTACAAGTGGTCATCACTCTGACATGACTCTGAAAGCAGGGTACATGCAAATGGGAAAAAAAAATCCAAAAATGAAAAGACACAAAAGACAGTTTTCTTTGTGACACTCAGTCATAGCAAGTCACAGAATGAGCTGTCAGTTCTCTGTGGCTAGGAGAAAGGCCACTGTTCTCCTTACATTTTACTTAATTACCTCTCTTTCACATTCACCACAAAGTCAATAAAATCCAAGGAAAGCAGTATCAGTGCTAGTTTATATATAATAATATTGTACTATTTATATTGCTGTACAGTACCCCTTCTATTTAGGTCTGCAATAAGATATTAGATGAGTTTTCTAATACAAAGAGTATAAAATGCTCTATAATGATCAAAAAACTTGATATATCATCTTTGAAATCTTCATAACCCTTCATTTTCCTTCATTTTTTTAACCTGTATCAGTGATTATTAGTGACTTCAAAAGCTGCAGCTGTAAATTAATATAGCTGAAGCTTTCAAATTCCCAGAGAGAGAGAGAGAATATATAAAGAATACATGTCTATGTGTTGTAGTTTAGATCATATTTAAAGCATGATCCTCAGCAGACAGTTGACATACCTGGTAGAGCATTATAGGTTCTATGCTGTATCCCAGTGTATCAGCAAACTCTTTAGCAATAACTGTTTTGCCACAGCCCTAAAAAGTTAAAAATAAGAACTAGATTACATTCTAAGGAAGGAAGAAAAGAAAGGAGGAAGAAAAGAAATTTCAATTCTTACTTTTCCTCCAATTAAACACATGTCTTTAACCATATGGGATTGCATCATTTCTGCCAACAGTTGATTATGGCTGGAAGTCCTTATGAAAGTATCTGATTGAGGACACCTTTTTAACAGCCCAGTCCCAGCTGGAACCTATAAGAAAAAAAAAATACATCAAAACACTAAATAAGCTATACTTTGAAAACTCTAGGCTTTGTGTGGACTGGGCTACATTTCTCCAAAACTACTATAACATTTTGTTCATGACTGTCATTCATCAAATCTAAACCTTTCCTTTACAAACATTAAAACATACTATTTCTAATAGACAATATCCTTCACACCTCCTTCGCCACTCTTTATGAAAAAAAATAACAAAATGTGAACCAATTAAACTATAGCATTGAGGTTAGCAAAGAACTTGAGGCGGTTCATGTTAGACACAAAACCTAAATCACTAACATTTATTATTCATCTGAGATATATGGAAGAGAAAGAGCACTACGTACTGTGAAAATCTGGAGGAGCTACTCTGACCAGAACTTTGGAATGTTTCAATCATTCCCCACCCTAGGGCATTGCTCCATTTTCACTTCCCATTCTAGTGTGCGAAACATTTCACCTGCAAATTTCTTATGTCCTCCTGTTCCCAAAGAGACACTTTACAGTATTCTCAGAAGGTATCCCTTACACATAAAATGAAAGCAAAAAATTTCTCCTCAGAAAAGAGCTGAATCAGGCCCCTATAGACTCCTTTTTTTCTTGACAAATTCCCCTTTTCACTTTGACATGGTATAAACTCCCTGAGGATGTTCCTCACCCATGTTAATATCATCTCTCTCTGACTCCCCCTAATTCAACTTCTTTATAAGGTCTCTAGATTGTCCAAATTGAACTTCAAATTCTCAGATCAGCATCTGTTTCCTGAAGAAGACCTTATTTCACCACCTAACAGGTCATAAACTTCATTGGAAGAAATTCAGACTAATCATATCCGATATGATTACTTTTGTTCCATTTTCCCAACATCCTGTGTCAGAACATTACCAAGTACTCATTAGATTTTATTTGAAGTGTGGAGAAAGATATATTATTGTTTTTATTAAAAGAAAAAGGGAAAGCAGCACCAAGAGCAACACCAGTAGTCTGTGTTATTCTAATCCAACTAAAATTATGAAATTTAGAGGCTTTTGTTACATCCATTATTCAGCGTTTTTTTTAACACAAGAAGCTTAAATGAATCACATGTAGGGGAAGTATGAATTTATTTACAAATAAAATCTTGTGTATCCATAATCTAATATTCCACTATCTAAATGATTTTCTAGTAAGTATCATGCATTATGCTACCAAAAAAACATTCAATGCAAATTACTTTTAGCACCAAGTGTGTAAAATTCTCAGTGAGATGAAAACAATTAATGACATCTAAAAACATATATAGTTTGATTAAATATAATTCATACCTGAAATGTCACTTCTTTTTCACCAATCTGGACAGTTACATCAGCCTGGAAGGGTTTGTTTCCATTTACACTTTCTACTTTTGTAATCTTCTTGGGAAGCATGCTTCTCTCTGAATCTTGAAGCTCAAAACGCTGTAGTATTAAGGGGTGGAGGAAACTGATTATTAAATACAGGCTTCTGGTTTTTTAAACTGTTGGTTCTGCAAATAAGGCCAAAGGCACACTCAAGATTCATTGCTTGTGAAGTCCTAAACCCTTTTACTTCAACTTCTAGCACATGCACTTATGTTCACATTCTCAATAGCCTATATATTTTACATTTAAAACCAAAGCAAAAAGATCATATATCATCTACTCATTCTGACTGTAGTGACAGAGAAAAAGTCAGAATGTCTTATGGTGACTCAGCCTGGCAGATTGAAATAATGAAAGAAACAGATGATAGCCTTTAGCATGGGTAAAAATAGATCACCTATTTCTGCAGGTAATTATAACCAATTGCAGATTAAAACACCAGGCAACAGATAAAAATAATGATCAAACATTTTGTTTACTTAGCTCCACAGCCTTTTCACACAATGAAAATTAAGGACAACCTGTACAAATTAAGCCTTCAGCATGTTGTGGGTATATTAGGGGCAAAAAACGGGACATTTGTCTTCCCAATCCTCTTTTGAGCTCTGTGCTATCTATTTTGTGGTGCATATAGAAAGCATTAAAACCATTTAAAAAATCTGTATAAAATTATTTTGTTGGGGAAAAGGAAGTCATATAAGGGGATTTATGCACAAAAAACCACCACTCACTGAAATTACTGAACTCATAGAGACATTTTATTCAACAGGGTGAAAGCTGAGTAAACAAGAGAAACAGGAGTATTATCCAAGACATAAAAACCTTAGAAAACACATTTTTTTTAAAAAAGAAGTCAGCAATGTAACATAATTCTTAAAAAGCATGTAGCTTTATTACTGCTAGGATTCACAGCATCACCTATTTAAAGCTTAGGAAGAAAATTAAGATACATTCATATGAACATTTATGCTCTTCATCACTTTGTATATCACCATGCTGGAACACGAGCCTACAAAAATTTTATGTTTAAACATAGGCAACGGATCTTTCTTGAAGGTGCTCTGCATGGGAAGGAAAGAGAATTTTTGGAGGAACAAGAGAAGTGAACTGTTTCACAAGAAGCAAAATATGGGATAGAAAGATAGACAGAGAGAAAGACAGACTTGAGTTTACTGTTTGGGAATGTTTAACTGGAGGCTATTTTCCATGAAAGTAGTGAGTTCTCCATATCTAAATCTTCGATAGAAAAAGCTTAAACAAATTTTTACTTAATTTCTGCAATAATATTTCAAATGTTCATCTAGTAAAATAATTTGTCATGTCAATATTTCATGCAAGTACAGAATAATTTTAAAGGCCAAAAATAAAGCTTCCATGGCAAGATCATCTAAGATCTTGTTTAAGAATCAGAATGCAAATCGATAGCTCCCAAAATGCAGAAGCTTCAAGTAATGGTGCATAAAGGCACATCATTCTGAAATTTATTTTGGTACTTCTGTCCTGTCTGTTGCAAGCTAATGAACTAATGAATGCTGCAAACTTCAGCCCTTATACAAATGTTCTGTGTGATAAGATCACTGTTGATTCTGGATTAGCGTGCAATCCATGAACACTTTTTTCAATGCTAACTAGTTTGACATAAGGGGTTATATTCGTATCAAATGAAAGAGTTGGTTGACAGATAGAATTAAGGCTAAAATAGGTTTTAACTAGATCCACTCAACAGGAGATTTGCACATCCAAGATTAACACTGTCAAAAAGTACTTTCACTCACAGGGTAGGTGTAAGCCAATATTTCACATTAATTAATTATAAAGAATAAAATTACAAGGAATAACTAAGTGCTGGTGGAGTCTCAGTGAGCAAGGAGGCACACAAGAAAAGATTTACCCAAGTTTAATACAATGTTTGGGAAGATAATGCCTGAAGAATGTGATCTCTTCAAGAAATATGCACAGGGTCTAGCAGCTGCCCAAGTTAGCTGTTTTGCCTAACTGCTGGCTACCTTGCTTCTCAGCTCTGACAGGTGACTGGAAGGGAAGACATCCTGAAACTAAGACACATTATCAGCTAGATTACTAACTCCCCATCCTGTCTCCAAGTCTCCAAGTCTGATGCCTAAACTTAACAATTTCTTATATGAATTTTTTTTTTTTATTCTCTTTAAATGTTAGATGATGTTAAGGAATTATTCCACTCACACAAATTAACCTATTGATTGCAAATACATATTTATTTTTTCAACTCTCAATACCTCCCAGTTTAGATTAGTATTTCTTAACTTTATGGTGTTACAGAGAGAGTATTCCATGGCAAGTATTAGCTGGGCTCTTTGGAAATCTGCAGGGAAGTAGAGTAAGAATTCATCTTGCTTCTGCCAGACCCCCTTCCTCACGTTTCTTGTAGAATGGAAAGAAATAATTTCTTATCCATATTTAATACAATTCCAGCACTGCTATTACTAAAATATCATAAACAGAAGTGCCTCAGTACAACCAGTTATTTTCTGTATTTCCAAAGGTTCATTGCTTAACAAGATTTGTTGTGTGCAAATAGAATTAAATTTCAAATAAAAATATATGTACTTGCTGGCATAATGCAAAAAGTTAATTTAAGTAGTGATGAGGAAGAGTATTAAAAAAAGGAGAATTAACACAGAAACGTGATACATGGAGGAAGCTGATGGTACTGAACATAAAGATATTCACTATCTATTAACTGATAGGGGAAACAAATTGACATAAAGTATTTAAAATAAAGGCATATTAAGAACAGAAGTGACTGCTACTGCTCTGATAACAGAAAGGACTCTGTGTTTCAATCCAAACCATGGTTCTTATGGGCAACTTCATATCACCCTGTCATGTGGTGGAAAGGCAATACAGCATGACACAATCAATCTAGACTCCTGGGGCTGCCTGGAATAACATCTCCGCAGAGGTGCTGCCCTGGCGAGGCAGGGGTGATACACAGACAAACAAGGAGCCAATGAAAAATTGGTTGTGGATATGGCATGAACAGCAGCCTTGGCTGTAGCATCCATAAAAGAATGGAATTTAAAATCCCGAGAGGGAGTGATGAAGGCAAGCAACATCAACTACAGATCCTGGTTTTCAGGCCAGGTTGTCTTATTCAGAGAAGTGGTAAGTAGGACCCCACAGCAGACAGCTCTGAAGGTTCATGAAAGCTAGCAGGTCATTCAGAACAACTTCATTCAAATGCAAGGACTGTCATCCCAAAACTCAGACAAGTAGAACAGCTTGGTTAAACAGGGAATTCATTACTTAGCTCCATTGCAAAAAGGCAGGATATGGGAGGTGTCAGCAGGCATGGGCTACAAACATTTACCTAACACACAGGCATGGTTTTAAGGAAAACAAAAATTCACTATCTACAAAGTTGGTTATTTCTAATTATGAACATGCAAATAACTTCCAATCTTTGGGACTGAAAGAGATGGGTAACCATGATTGCTAATTTTCAGCAACACACAGAACTACAAGAATTCAAAATTGAAAGAAGGCCAGCACTGTGCTAAAGTTTGAAATGTATGAATGGAGTAACTCCGCATAATGATAGGGTTCAGAAGATATTATTAAACATAGACAAAACAACAAAACAGCTCTGACCAACAAGAAGCAAGAAAGAGCTAACACAGAACAAACACAGAGACAACCTACAATCATGCTATACTGAGTATGTGATCTCTACTGTCATTTTAGTATTTTTTATTCAAGGTCAAATGCCAAAGGTATTTTTTAAGCATTTGACTACCTTAACCATATAAGTAACTTATTTCAAGATAATTAAGCACTTACATAATTTTTCCATAGTCTTGAACTAAGCTCTAACTCTTCTACAGAATACAGGGGTTTCACCTTTCACTACATTGAAAACTACCTTACAGAGCTTTGGCTTTTTAAAAATGCATTAGCAACAGTGCAGCCATTTCATTTATCTAAGTTTTCTTTTTTTTTTACAGACGTGGTGAAGTAACATTAGTCATGAGAACTGCCATCATAATCCATCACTCTCTGGAATTATAATACATATGTGCAATACTTACTTTTAAGGCATCTTTGACTGCAGTTTTGCCTTCCTTTCCAAGGAAAACATTGTAGGGGTAAAGCCGGTCAATAACATGCTGGACTGACATCATAGGAAAGGAATCCTAATTCAAATTGAAAAATAAAAATAAAAAATATAATTGGATAATCATTCCCTCATCAGTCACTAACCGGAAAAAAACCCCAGAACCCCCAATGACCACCAGATGCAGTATTCCATCAAATGTCAAAACAGGCATCTCTCAGGTGCAATGAGGTGCAATGAGGTATAATGACGTGTGAAAGTCTGAAGTACATTAGAAGAACTATGTCCTGAAAAACACTTACTTTCCTGTGCATAAATGAAAGCTACAGTGACTGGATCAGATACCCAAAGACATTAAGGTTAGAAGAGACAAATCCCACCACAGGTAACTGAGTTTCGTTCTTTCTACTAGAAAAGAATTGATTTGACAAGAAATCTATATTACAATAATAACCTACTCATTCACAGCAATTTTTAGTACTTAATTTTGCTTCTACTACATTGTACAGATTCTAGTTAACATATCGATTTGTATAAATTTCTAAACAGTTTGATCAAAACTGGTTTTTTTAAATGAGTTACTAAGCATGATTGCAGTTTCTACACAAAATGCAAAACAGCTCTTTGTTTCTTTTACTATCTCCTTGCTAGTTGTAAGTACTAACTTCTGTTAGCTGATGCCTGAACTAGACAAAGATTCAAATATCTTGTTACAGTGATAGAAAACGAAACGGAAGTGCATTTATGAATACTCAAGATACATATGCACAAAGCATTTAATGGTGGGGGGAAAAGTGCTTCAAAACCCCCTGAAGCAATGCTTGATGGTTTTTGTAAAGAAAACATTGTGAATTTTTAAGGGCCACTTGTGTGTAACACTAACGACTACAGTCAGTGGACTGACACTACATTTTTAAGCCTTCATCAAAATGAGTAGCAAGTAAATAATACAATTCAAATGAAACAAACTGACTTTCAGTTACATACTTGAATTCATGTATGCATGCAACTGAAAGACGAGTTGCTTGGAAATGAAATCAGGAGATGCATGTCTTATGAAATAGGTGGATCAGGAACTGGTTGAAAGGAAGGAGTCAGAGAGTTGTAGTCAATGGGGTAGAATCTGGTTGGAGGTGTGTGACTAGTGGAGTCCCACAGGTGTCAGTACTGGGACCGGTGTTGTTCAACATCTTCATCAACGACCTGGATGAGGGTATAGAATGTACCCTTAGCAAGTTTGCTGATGACACTAAGCTGGGAGGAGTGGCTGACACACCAGAAGGCTGTGCTGCCATTCAGAGAGACTTAGATAGGCTGGAGAGTTGGGCGGGGAGAAACATGATGAAATTCAACAAGGGGAAGTGTAGAGTTTTGCATTTGGGGAAGAACAACACCATGTCCCAGTACAGGTTGGGGGCTGACCTGCTGGAGAGCAGTGTAGGTGAAAGAGACCTGGGGGTCCTGGTAGACAGGAGGATGACCATGAGCCAGCTATGTGCCCTTGTGGCCAAGAAGGCCAATGGCATCCTGGGATGCATTAGAAAGGGTGTGGTTAGTAGGTCAAGAGAGGTTCTCCTCCCCCTCTATTCTGCATTGGTGAGGCCACATCTGGAGTATTGTGTCCAGTTCTGGGCCCCTCAGTTCAAAAAGGACAGGGAACTGCTCGAGAGAGTCCAGCGCAGAGCTACGAAGATGATTAAGGGAGTGGAACATCTCCCTGATGAGGAAAGGCTGAGGGAGCTGGGTCTCTTTGGCTTGGAGAAGAGGAGACTGAGGGGTGACCTCATCCATGCTTACAAATATGTAAGGGGTGAGTGTCAGGGGGACGGAGTTAGGCTTTTCTCAGTGATGACCAGTGATAGGACAAGGGGTAATGGGTGTAAATTGGAGCATAGGAGGTTCAAGGTGAATATCAAAAAAATTTTTTTTACTGTGAGAGTGACAGAGCACTGGAACAGGCTGCCCAGGGAGGTTGTGGAGTCTCCTTCACTGGAGACATTCAAAACCCACCTGGATGCGTTCCTGTGTGATGTACTCTAGGTGACCCTGCTCTGGCAGGGGGGTTGGACTAGATGATCTTTCGAGGTCCCTTCCAACCCCTAAGATTTTATGATTCTATGAATATAATTAAATTCTATGAATATAATTAAATTAATATTTATAATCAGTAATACTATTTATCAAGTCCCATATTAAAGAAAGATCAGTAAAAATAAACCATTTAAGGCACTGTAGCAAATGTACTGTTTAAAGGATCAAGGAGCTCTTTATTGCATTTTAAAAGCCCTCTGTCATATATAAAGATATAACATAAAATTTGCCCACATTATCTCAAATTAATAATAATTACAATGGCATACATGAAATTAGTCTCTTCAGAACAGTACCCTATAAAAAAAAATCTCCCTTTCAGGAGGTAGGAGTTTTCAACCTAAGAATCACATTTTGGGAATATCTGATTCCATGATAGAAGATAAAGCACTAGTCATTACATTGTATTCCATCCACACTTTTAAACGATTAAATCAACCAAGCTAGAAGTAGGGGATGGCACTGACCCAGCATTTGAAGGCAAAGTGCTGTAGCTAGAATCCCTGAGAACAGTTGGCTTAGAAAACAATGTGATTAAAACTGATTCTAAAACAAACACTACTCATCTACCTAAAAAAGACACTGTCATACAATGATAACACTTCACATTCTCTTAATGTAAAATAAAATGCTTCCTTAATTCCATAGTTTAGGTAATAACTTAGGGCTCATTTTCTTTCCATTACTCTGAAAGCCATCTGGCATTCATTTAAAAATAATTTTTCACTACAGGGCTCAAAGAATAAAAACTTGCAATTTATTTTAAAATCTAACATGTATTTCTTTCCTAAAGCTTTCCAAATACCATTTAATTTGAAACCTGTATTTTAATCACATCTTAACATCTGATATAGCATCACTGATTCAGAGAAGAATTATGTCTGTAAGTATCCAGCACAACTGAGGGCACTGAGCACCACAGCAACACAGGTAACTAGTATGTTTTTATGTATATATTCCAATAAAATACACAGAAGTAATGTGCCACTGAGCACTACCACAGGTAAAATGACTGCACAGGAGTCACAGAGAAGAATTATCCTGAGAGTCCTGTCTACAGACCTTGGAAAGAGGGTTTGAGAAAGACGTCCTATTATTCTACCCTGCTGGGTTGACCACATCTTCCCACATGTAAAAGAGCACCAACCACTCTCTCTCTTCGTACAGATCTCATCTCGCAGACTTCCTTCAGGAGGCACCTTCTGGTTTTACTTGGACTTTTAATCATACAATTACGAAGTCCAAGGGACAAAAGCCTGTCTAGGAAAGCAGAAAGACTGCCATAGTTCCAGTCCTGACTTGCCTGACCTGCCACTGTGAACTCAGCAAGTGCAGAATTGTTACGTGTCCCTGCAGATGGCAGCTGACAGAAAGTACTGTATCTTCAAGCGTGTGCAACCAGCATTTCCAGGTAACCCTTCATGTCTGTGTTCATTACAAATCCACCAGCCAACCCAAAGACCTAACACAGGCTTAATCTCATACAACTTCACTGCCTCCTATACCCACATTTGAATAGTTGTTCTGAGGCCTCTTAGGTGTCAATGGAGAGTAATAGGTGTCTTAGCAAAAAAAGCAATCTGGTTTACATGCATATCATTAAATCAGAAGGACTTAGGTTGTTATTTAGTAGAATAAAATCCATCATTTTTATCATTATGATACATTTAATCACATTACAAATCTTGTGTCATGTAACACTTTGTCCTCCACTATTATGCTACATTCAGTTAAAGTATTATCCAGAGACAGACCTAACTGGGGCTTTTCTCCCTCAAACCATCTTTAGCTTTTTCAGTTTTATTTTATAAATGTTCATGCTAATCTTCTTCTAACGACATGAATAATCCAGATCTAATTTTGAGAAATTTTAAGCCCATTCAGTTTCACAGCACATGTGTAAGCACATACCAAAATCCGAACTGCAGCCGATAAGCTGTCTAAAGGAAAATCTGGAAGTCCCAATGTAGAAGATTCTTGAGAACACAGAGTTGTAGCAAAAGACAGGAGCTGAGAAATTCTGCACAAGAAAAAGTAATTACATAGTTTTATACATGCTATCTATATTTAAAATACTAAAGCTTAAAAAGTTAAATACAGTATAAGATGCTGAAACTATTTATCAGCACAAATAAGTAAGGTATGATTTAAGTTATAAAGCATTAAGGATTCATTATATGGAGGCTGCATATGAAAAGCTGTATGAGCACACACCCACACATATTAAAAAACTTCTTCAGTTATGGTTTCTATGCACTGATAGAAGATACAAAAATAGCATGGAAGCCTGAAAGGACATTGCAGTTCTTAATTTGTTCCATTTTAATTTTTTTAATTATGAAAACTTACCTCTCTGTGGAAATGTTTGGTCCAATTGAATATAATAGCTGAAGATGGTCCTGAAAATAGAACATAAAATCGCTCAGTAAATTAATATCCGGATCATACTGTGGGTTACAGCTCCTGATGTATGAGGCATTTTCTTTTTCCCTCTAATTTAGACGTGAGGAGTCTCCTCACTCCTTGACACAGAATTAATTTTATGAAAAGAAGTAATAAAACAAGAAAGTAGCAAAATTGTCAAATCTTTATTCTAGGGTTATATTGTTTTGCAGAAGTTATTTTTCTGCTGTAGCATTCCTTGGCAAATCTAAGCTTGCTTTTCAGGAATTTATTAGGGCCCAGTACAAAACCTACTACATTTATTACTCAAGGATTCTTTTCAGATGTGACGTAAGTAAAACATAATGTCAAAATATTAGCTCTACTCGGTACATATAATCTAACTCTTCTACCAGGACACTTACCTTAAAGGGCAGATGATAAACATCTCTGGCTTGAAATCGAGAGCGAAGAGGTGGATCCAGGGGGTTACCAGAGTATTTCGGTACTGGCAGGCCCAACGCTATCACTCGGAAATCTTCACTGACCCGAACAATCTTCCATGCATCTAACTCTGATTTTGTATGATCCTAAATAAATTAAAATAAAGCAACAACAAAAAAAACCAACAACAAACAACAAAACCGTTATGTTATTAACAACTTAGGATGACTAAGCTGCAGATTGACTAACAGTCCTGGTCCTTTCAACCTAACCGTGATAATGTTCTCATCTTTCAATCAGAGCGATTAGAAAGCACTGGACTATTCAAGTTTGTGAATGGTAAAAACAAGTTTTTCCAAAATGAACATAGATAGAATGTTTGATTAGGTGCAAATTTCAGGCCTGTAGCAACTTGACCAAAGACCCCACAGATGGTCAAAGTTGAAAAGGTATCATTACAACAATGTTTTCATAGAATCATAGAATGGTTTGAGTTGGAAGGGACCTTAAAGATCATCTAGTTCCAACCTCCCTGCATGGGCAGGGACAGACAAAGAACAGAAAATAAACAGACCACAAATTTTATTTTTATTCTGAAACATTAGAAGTGGGTTACCATGAGCAAGTTTTTTTGTTTTTATTTACTCCCCCCTTCTAACTGAAGACTAAAATCTGCATTTAAGAAGTTTAATTTATAAATTATGCTTTATTATAAGCAATAATACAGCATTAGATTTCTTCATGAGAACATGAAATGTTATATTTCATTTTTGTCATGTAAAGACTAACTGCACACAAAAAATGCACTCTAGTCTTCCTACATCAGAGTTAAGTCTTATTTGAAACCACACATGAGTACATTTCCTGCAGACCTAGATGTACAATAATTATTCACAGAGGAGAAAATTAACATTAGCTTATATAATACAATATTCCTAAAACAACAATATTAGATTTAGTGTGATAGCAAGAGATTTATTTAATTCATATACTATTAGCAGTGTGACCGAGGCACTCATTTTGCAACATTTTATAATTAGAAAACTGTTTAAAAGAAAGAGGAGGAAAATGCTCTGCCTAATTGCAACCAAATCCTATCTAAGCTTGAGTTCTTCATTTTCAGTCTTTAAATACAATTACATTTTAAAAGCTAACTTCTAAAATATAAAAACAATTATTTCAACAATTGCATCTACTAATTAAATATCATAAAAATGTTTTTGAAAAAAGTATGTATCAGAAGAACTGTAACCACAGATAAGAGGCATATGAAATTCTGATATATTTTCAGAAATACATTATAGTACTTCAGCATAGCTGGCAACTTCAGATAATCAGGACAGATGACAGAAGCTTATTGCAAATTTCCTTCCTGTGCCACACGGGTCTGAATTATATATGTAAGCACAGTTAGGTACAACAGACAGAAACTCAAGTGAGCAGGGGTCAGACTGTTTGTTACAAGAGAGTGAGAGGTCAGCAATGTGATCAGCAATTACAGCACATGAAAGTAAGACGTGGCGTACTACTGAAAATTATCTGATGACATTTAGTGAAGTCCCCAAGAGCCTGAAAAGTATCTACTCAAATTTAAGCAGTAGGATTCAAAGTCTCAGAAAAAGAAAAATAGCTAAAGTAGACACTAAAATTTCCTATCAAAAGGAATAATTTCCTATAATTTAGTTTGGCTGTTTACATACACTTCTGTAAATTAAAGGCAAGACAGCACTGATGAATACAGTGTTGCTCATCTTCACCTCATTTTTTTGGTATTCAAACATTTTAAAAGCTTAGCAAAAAGGTTACTGCAATGTTGAAGCATTATCTGAACTTCATGGTAACAATTTCAACTTAAATCTCTTTTCACATGTATAGTTTGGTTACCCTCACATTGTTGCTTTCACATTTTAGAAACATAGAGGCTTCATAAAAGGTTAACATAGACAACTCTTTTGCATGTGGACAGACAAAATACAGATGAAAAAATTTTGTTGTTGCTGTTGCAAGCAGTAGTTTGACTTCTCATGTAGTTTTCATCCTCCTTATTTCATCCCATGGAGCATCCCAGAAAAAACACTTTGTTGATATTTCACCCATTTAGCTTGTACATAATCGTATTTCAGCACTATCAAGGACAGCAAAAATTGAAAATCTAAACAGCATTTCCATACCTGAAGAAGTTTGTCATAACGCTCTGCAGACATGAGAAAACGACCATCTTCAAGTTGCATTTCCCTGTTCTCCAGCAAATTGTTTAACACTGGCAGGACATTCCGCTCAGCCTTCTCCAAACCTTCCAGCACAAGAATCCTGCCTTCGGTAGCTGCACGAACTGCACACTTTTCAAAAATAAAAAACCAGTATTAGAACAGAAATAAACATTACATATCTCATTCTCCTTCTGAAAAAAAACACCTCCGGATCACTTCTGCAAGAATCAATAAGATTCACATCAGTAGTGATTATGAAGCATGACAGAATATTGCCTTAAGTGTGTTACACATTCATGAGCTGGAGTTTAATAGAACCATAGAATGGTTAAGGTTGGAAGGGACCTTAAAGATCATCAGGTTCCAGCCTCATTGCTATGAGCAGGGACACCTCACACTAGACCAGGCTGCACAAAGCCTCATCCAACCTGGCCTTAAACACCTCCAGGGAGGGGGCTTCCACAACCTCCCTTGGAAACCTATTCCAGGGCCTTACTACCCTCATGGTGAAGAATTTCTTCCTGATATCTAACCTAAATCTCCCCTTTTTCAGTTTAAAACCATTACTCCTTGTCCTACTGCTACAGTCTCTGATACAAACCTGTCCTAATTATTCTAGCAGCTGTCAACAGTTCCAGTATTTGGTACCAACAGAATAAAACATAAAACCTAGCAATTTAATGTACGCCTAGTTTATATTAATATGTGGCAACTTTTCTTTTTGCAGATATTGTATTTTTCAGGTATTTTAACACCATCTAAGAATTCTGGGATAGTTATTTATACAGGAAACAATCAGATATTCCTTTGGCTTGCTCTAGTTGTGCATCAGTGCAATTCATCCTCAGTACCTTGCTTAAGTCTGACCAGAACATAACTCTATTGAAAACAAACACAGATGATAAAAAGAAAATAGTGCCACAAAAACTCAGACATTAAAAAAGCAATAAAATTAAGAAGACTTAGAAGTATATTCTCTGACTGAACATGGTCTTCTACAAAACCAGAATAAAAATGCAGCTATTACTTGATAACCCCTTGGAGCCTTTGAGATAGAAAGTTCTTTATTTTCTGTATTTTGTTTTATTAGTTGTTTAGATGTGGCTGTTTATTTAGGTGCATAATAGGGAGGCAAAATGTAAAATTAAACTCTGGTGCTGGTAATTTTGTGCCACTTTCTTGCAGTCAATGACATTAATTTAGGTAAATTAACTATACTTCATATCTAGTATTGACAATTACTTTCCCGTAAAAGACTCTGAAATTCAATGCATTCTTGTCTACTTCCAATTTGCAGTATTTTAATCAGATAATCATGGGTCAGTTTTAGGCACAGGGAACATTTAGAGGCACCACAGTCTTCCTTTGTATGCCTATTACATTTTAGCACAATTTTAGACACAAGCACAGTTACAAATGAAGAACAAATGAAATCTCTTCCCAGCATGTCTCCTGTGAACTCCTACAGAAGAAACTGTCACACAATACTAGATGAAAATATCTGATGAACACAATAGATGACAAAAACTAGGACAGAGAGAAAGAAGGAAGATACGAGAAAGAATAACGAAGAGGTACAAGAATACAAAAATAACAAGAACAAAAATAAGAATTACATAAAAAAGCAGATGCATAAGGGACAAATGCACAAGCATAAACTAGAAACAAAGAACAGTTCAGTACAACAAATTAATTTCAACATAGTACAAAGCATACAACAGAAACAGAGATCCACCTAAGAATATAAAGACACTAAATGGTTAAGAGTAACTGACTTAGATTCTTATGTAAAGTATAGAAGTATAAATAACTACTGGCAAATGACCCATAATGTAAGCTTTTCACATCATTAAGATGAAAATAATTTCTATATCTAATGTGGATTCAAGCAAACATGACTGAAAAAAGGCCCTCAGAAGTCCTGGTATTATCTAGATCAGGTTCTCTTCTCTGACAGACATTCTGTATAACATTTTAATACCTAGCCTCCAAATCAGTATCTGAGCAACCCAGAATAATCCCATTAAACAAGCATCAGTCCTCAGATTGTTCCTCTTCCAATAAATCACCATTTTTTTCCTAAAAGCAATCATTATGTGAATTGATTTTTTTGTTGTTAATTCAAGACATCATAGTCTACTAACAGGCAATATAAAATTCCTCTCTCCTCATCTTATAAAATTTGTACCAAGGACAAAGTTTGTACTAACATTCTTCTCTAGGAAGGTCATTGGTCAAGTCAAAAATCTGCTCCACTCTTCTTGAATAGAAAACCTCAGTCTCCAACAGTCAATCCAACACCTGGCATGAACAAAATGCTATTTTGTCTAAATGCAGTTTGGACACAGAGCCAGAATATCCTTTAACAAACAACTTATTTGCCAAGTTGGTTGGATTCTGCATATTCTAAGTCTATTAAGACTTTATATGACTGAGTTTTACTAGCCAGAGGAAAATACACATTCTGTTCATATGGTTTCAAAATATTTTGAGTATCCATAGAATCTTGTTGACACATTGAGACACACACTCAATGGATAAAGATTTGCTGAAAAAACAGACTTCCAGTATCAATCTAAACTTTCTCTGGGGCTAAGACAATTGGCTGCAGGGGTAGACTGAGTATCCAGAAGTATACACCAACCATTAACTTCAAGAAAGAAGATGCTCTTGTAGAATCAAAATTTAACAAGTCCAGAGTTTCCAGAGCCTGAAAACTATTTGAAGTTTGAATTTAAAATTCTAATGCTGAGTACAATGATATTTCAAAAGATAAGCTACAGCTGGTCTCAGGTCACCTCTACCTAACTTTTATAATCACCTTCAGGAATGGCTGAATGCACAACCATGATTTTTTCACTTCTTAATCAGACAACACCACCACAATCTGGGTGCTAATTTACTCTGATCGGCTTTCTTTCTAATTGTCTCCTCATATATCTTCAAATTGTATCTGAAATATTGGAAATCGTTCTCCAAAATACTATTAAATAAATGCACGATTAACCTACCTCTAAAGTTCTTGTTTAAATAGCATAAAATCTGCTCTTAGGACCAAATCAGCTATGTATCTCTGGATGAATGATGATATTTCTGCATTCTGGTTGGTAATGAGTAATATTGTTTTGCAATAAGCTAGGCATACAACAAGGCATCCTTTGAATCATTATTTCACGTTTATCTGTGTATTGATGGATTGGTACGGCAACTCAAATGCATTAAAAAAATCAAAGAAAAGAAAGTTTACAATCTGTCAGTGAAAATAATTTCTTAAAAATGATTCCAAGAAAGAAATCTTCATAATTCTATAATGAAAACCCAGAAATAGATGTGCTGCCTCCCTCTCTCACAAGCCTCATTTATTCTAAATGTTTAACATAAAACAATTGTCAGGGGGGCTTACATTGTGCAGCCCTGATGATAAATCTGAGATTAAAAGTATTAATTCTCGTTAAAAGGCCAAAAGGGATTTGTTAAATGTTTACTTTCATATTTATTGTAACTGCAGTGAGGGACTATTTTCCTCATCAGAGGACAGATGCTGCTCCCATCCTCCTCGGGCTCTGGGAGGACGGTAACCTGGATACCTGCTCCAGGGAAAACCTGCAGCTACAGCAGGCTGAGAGCAGAAACCTGTCAACAATTCTGCTCTCACAGGAATGGCTTTATGCAACAAATACGTAACAGAGTGCTTACCCTGGCTTCACACTGCACCTGCAAAAATACATTTTTATCTTTTAAGGCAAAACCAATTTAGAAACAAGACGATCCTAAGGAGACTTTCATTGTCTTTCCTGTAGCTGAACCACAGTGAGCTCCTCCACTTGAGCAGTGCAAAATACAACTACTGCAGGAAACTGTAAAGCCTAGGTTTGACATAAATCACAGTATATAAGCACATGGATGAAGTTATGCATTGTCAGAAAGTGAAGAGCAGCAAAAAGCTCATCATAATGCAAATACTGAAATGCAGAAACACCAGAGAAAGTCTTTTTTTAAAGCTAACCAAAATAGTCTGTAAAGTATAGTTTAAAATACCAGAACTGAAATGGTAGTTCTCTTCTCTCAGGAAAATGCTTTATCATAAATCAGAAACTCTTTTGCCCTGAAATCTGTGAGAAAGGTTCAGGTAGATCTCTAAAGGGCCTTAATTTTTTTAAACCTGGGCATCATTCTGAGTATGACACACAGGCTGTGTCTTATAACTGTATTAAAAACTGTTGCTAGGAATTACTCAATAGTAATCAGTAATTGTCTTTTTTTCAGGAGCTACCTCAAAAGAGGTTTGAGATTTTTCTAAAAAGATTACTTGTCCGTGCTCTGAAAACTGGATCCCTGTAATGACATCTCAAGCACAGCACCCAGAACTATCAAATGGATAGACAAAAGTACAAGCAGTTCAGTGAACACAAGAACAAATGAGCAAAGGTTCCCCTACATCTGCAGCCTACATTGCAGGTGTCCCTTCCAGTGCAGTGTCCCACCACACACAATATCCCACACAATTCCATCCACCCAAGTCTTCCCAGTCACTCCTGTATCTCATAAACATCCCAACAATGTAATGTCCAGATGTCTCATATGGTGAAAAGAGATCCTTAGTAACCAACTGGTAAAGACAACACAAAACTGGATGGTTTCCAGCTAACATGATAGTGTCTGGCTGCAGCAGGCTAACAGAACCCCAACTATCAAATCCATGGTGTAGCCTGTCTTCCCCAGATAGGAGGTGGACTTTAATTGGAGTCCCTGTGATCTATGAAGCAACCAAATATCACAAAATGCTGAGAAAATAGGTATCTTGTAAGTTTCTTCCCAGGGGCCAAACACAATCAAACTTTTCAAATGTAAATCATTAAGACTAACTAAAAAGGAAAAGATATCAGGAAAAGAAATCCCAGAGATGCGGAATGGAATATGCTATGAGCTCCTCATTTTACCAGAGAAGGAAAAGAACATTGACCTAGACTTGTAATCTACTGTAAATGCCTCAGGTTGTTCTTTGAATAAGACGCAATAGAACTAATATGATCACAATTTTTTTTTTAATACTACTTCTGTGGAAATAGCTAATTATCTAGAAATTTAGAAACAGTCTAAAGATAGATGTACAATTAGAGGTTGAGGGC